CCCTTTCTTCCCCCTTCCCTTCCGTTCCCTCCCCTCCCCTTCTTCACCCACAATTTCTTCCTTTCCTTCCTTCCTTCCGTCCCTCCCTTCTCCATACTTCCCTTCCCTCTCCTCCCCTTTCCTTCCCCACCCACATTTCCTTCCTTCCTTCCTCTCCCTCCTTCCCCTTTCTCCCTCCCTCCTTCCCTCCCCTCCCCTCCTTCATTCACAATTTCTTCCTTCTTCCCTCCTGCTGTGCTTCCCTCCCCTTTTTCTTTCCTTCCCTTCTTCACCCACATCTACCTTCCTCCCTCGTTCCCATCCTTCCCTCTGAGTCCGGCTGTTTCTTTGCAGACATTTCACCACCCAGCTAAGTAACATTATCAGTGCTAGCCCATTGGAAATGGGAGTCCTGAATTCCAAGGACCGTGTGCAACCATCAACGTTGGCCAGCCCTGGGGGCCAAGCCCTGCCCCCTTTCTCACTGCCCCCCCTTCTGCCCCCCATCCCCAGGAGACTTCGCAGCTCTGCTCCACGCCGGCCTCAGCGTCAAGCGGGCTCTGCTGCTCAACTTCGTGAGCGCCCTCACGGCCTTCCTCGGCCTCTACATCGCCCTGTCGGTCAGCACCGGGGAGGAGTTCGAGGCGTGGATCTTCACGGTGGCCACGGGCCTCTTCCTCTACGTGGCCTTGTGCGATATGGTAAGTGGCACCTCCAGGCCAGGGTCTCTGGGCCAGCCTTGCCCAACCTCTGGCTCTGCGGAGGAGCTGGGCTGCAAAGCCCCCAATGGCCAAGGCTGGGAGTGATGGAGGTTGGAATCCAAAAGGGGAGAAAAGGCATCTGAGAACCAGGATGACTAGAAGGCAAATTCGGAGGATTCTCTGAGAGTTAAAATGAATAGTGGTGAGATACCAAAGCAATGGAAGAATGTCCGAAAGAGGCAAGGGTCTTCCAGTCTACATTGGAAGAGCAGGAGAGGGGAAAGTATTTATTTATATCCCACCTTTATTATTATTATTTATAAATAACTCAAAGCAGCGAACATGCCTACTACAGCCTTCTCCTCCTTTTTCCCCACAACAATCCTGTGAGGTGAGTCAGGCTGAAAGGGATTGGCCCAAAGTCACCCAGCCGGCATTCATACTAGAACTCACTGTCCCCTGGTGATGGGCCCAAAGTTACTTAGCTGCTTTCATGCCTAAGGCAGGACTAGAACTCACTATCTCCTGGTGATTGTTCCAAAGTTATTAAGTCACCTTTCATGGCTAAATCAGGACTAGAACTCCCAGTCTCCTGGTGCTTAGCCCAAAGTCACCCAGCTGGCTTTCATGCCCAAAGTGGGACTAGAACTCACCTGATAATTGGCCCAAAGTCACCCAGCTGGCTTTCATGCCTAAGGCAGGACTAGAACTCACCATCTCCTGGTGATTGGCCCAAAGTCACCTAGCCGGCATTCATACCTAAGGCAGAACTAGAACTCACCGTCCCCTGGTGATTGGCCCAAAGTTACTTAGCTGCTTTCATGCCTAAGATAGGACTAGAACTCACCATCTCCTAGTGATTGGCCCAAAGTCACCCAGCTGGCTTTCATGCCTAAGGCGGGACTAGAACTCCCAGTCTCCTGGTGATTGTTCCAAAGTTATTAAGTCACCTTTCATGGCTAAATCAGGACTAGAACTCCCAGTCTCCTAGTGATTGGCCCAAAGTCACCCAGCTGGCTTTCATGCTTAAGGCAGGACTAGAATTCACCATCTCCTGGTGATGGGCCCAAAGTCACCCAGCCGGCATTCATACCTAAGGCAGAACTAGAAGTCACCATCTCCTGGTGATGGGCCCAAAGTTACACAGCTGGTTTTCATGCCCAAGGTGGGACTAGAACTCACCTGATAATTGGCCCAAAGTCACCCAGCCAGCTTTCATGGCTAAGGCAGAACTAGAACTCACTGTCTCCTGGTGATTGGCCCGAAGTCCATATTTTTCAGTGCCGTTGTGACTTTGAACCGTCACTAAAAAAACGGTTGTACGCCGAGGACGACCTCCAACCACGTATGACCACGATTGCTTCTTGCTCTGCTCTCCCTCCAGCTTCCGGCCCTGATGAACGCGAAGGACAAACGACCCTGGTTACTTTTCGCCTTGCAAAACCTGGGCCTCCTGGCCGGCTGGGCCATCCTTCTGGTGCTCTCCCTCTTCGAGGACAACATCACCATTTAGCTGCAACGGTCCTGCGGAGCAGCACCAGGCACCCCTCGCCCCCCCCTCCCGCCCCCCTCCCTCCGGCAGGCACGGCCAAATCAGGGACACGAAAGGCGGTGTGGCATTTGGGGGGCAAATCCAGACCCTGGGGGCACCGGCCAGGCTTCACCTGAGACTCGGCTGTCCATCTCACCTTTTCTACACATTGCCAAAAATTCCTCAGTCGGCTCTCAATCTTGGCCTGGCAGAGTCCTGATGTCCGAAAAGAAGGAAGCCACGGCCACCTGGAGACCGGTCCACGACAGCAGACAGAAATGAAAGCTCGGCCCAGGGTTCAAATTTCCTCCGCCTGAATCAGTGGGTCCTTTTCTTGGGGCATCCCTGGTTTCCTCCTTCAATTTTTGTACCAGTACGCCTTGCAAGGATGTTTATCCTGCCTTCACCTTCTATTTATTGTATTTATTAAATCCTTATTCTTGTTCATACATACACCTATCCTCCTCCTCCTCCTCCTCCCCCTCCCGCTCCCCCTGTCTGCAAACCCCACTCTCTTCTAGCACTGATGATGTTCCCTAGTTGGGTTATGAAATGTCTGCAAGAAAACTACCAAGCTCAGAGTGCAGCAAGGACCCCACAGTCCTCCCTCTCCCCCTCCCCCTCCTCCCCACAGCATTTTTTCTGAAGCTGCAGAGTCAGTTTTTTTCAGATAAATACAGATACATAAACATCCCTTCCATGATACTCAAGAGACACCGGGATTTGGGCCAAACTGCACTCCTTCAAATTCTGCTTTTCCTTCAGACCCACATTCCGGTGCAGCTTTTCGCCAAGTGTCGGTGGACAACAGAAAAAAAGCCCCTTCTTTTCAATTCATCCAGAGGCATAGAATGTGGAAAAAAGCATCAGCCAGATAATTCGAATTCATCGTATTTGCAATGGAACGTTTTGGTATTGCAAAGAGAATTACGCAGAGGAAGTGAATAACTTTCCTATTTTAAAAAAAACTGCTTATACGTACTAGGTATAATATACAAGTGTAAAAAGACTCAGGCAGCAGGAGTAAGGACAGATTGCACTCTACAAGAGCTACCTCCACTTTAGTGCCTCCTAGGGATGGTAGTGTGAAATCTGGCAGTTGTGTTGCAGCCCGTGTCCAAGATACCACCAGCTAGTTGGCATCGATGGAGCAAGCTAGAGTTGGCATCGATGGGCAGCTTTGGCCATCTCATGATGTTTCCTCACAAACATCTCCAGGGTCAGCTATTAAAAGAGAGAGGTTGGACTACAAACCCAATTCAGAGGTACACAGGTAGTTAGATACAGATTAACAGATTTGGAAGGGACCTTGTAGGTCATCTAGTCCAACCCCCCGGCCCAAGAGTTCGCGACTTGCAATCCTTTGTTTAGTGACCGTCTGAAGTCAGAGCGGCCCTGAAAAGAATGGCTTATGACCGCTTTTCACACTTACAACTGTTTGCATCGTCCCCATGGACACGTGACCAAAATTCAGGCAATTGGCAACCGATTCATATTTATGACGGTCGCAGGATCCCGGGCCTCACAAGATCCTCCTTTTGCGACCTTCTGACCAGCAAAGTCCATGGGGAAGCCAGAATCACATAACCCGTGTTCATCGTAACTGTACTGATTCCCTTAGCACCAGTGGCAAGGAAGGTCATAAAATGGAGCAAAACTCACCCAACGTTTTGCCGAACAACATAAATTGAGTTCAGCTCAATTGTGGTCATAAGTCAAGGAGTACCTGGATACAGTGCAATTTGGAGTGGGTGGGGGGAGTTGGGGGGGTTGTGGATATTCAGTGGTAGGAAAACACACACTACAAGTATTGTAGCACTCTTTAACACTACTTCAGTGGTACTGAGGGAAAAAAATGACTGTAAGGGCTGGAGTCCTGGACAGATGGTGGGCTACGGACTTCCATCTTGTGTAACTTTTACCGCATCATGTCTCATCGTTGTTAAATAAAACCTATGGATTCTAAGCATTTCACACCAAAAAGTGCGTGTTTTGTTTGAACAGGGCAGGAACCTGGAAAAATGGTCAAGGCAGACATTTGGGAGAGGGTGGGCTATTTTCAAAGGATGGAGTCTTAAAATTGAGAAGCCCCTCTTCCCCTCACAGACGGGTGGGGGTGCTGATACAAGCTTTGTTGAACTGTCATGAGGGGTCCTCGGGGGTCTCTGAGCTCGTTTTCTTGCAGACATTTCATGACCTAACCAGCTACCTAGCACTGATGATGTTACCTAGCTGGGTCATGAAACGTCTGCAAGAAAACCACTAAACTCAAAGAGCACCAAGGGCCTCATAGTGCTCCTCCTCCTCTAGTCGAGCACTGATGATGTTACCTAGCTGGGTCACGAAACGTCTGCAAGGAAACCATTAAACAGAGAGCAAAATGGACCCCACAGTTGTCCTCCTCTCCACAAACCCCCCTCTCTTCTAGCACTGATGCTGTTCCCTAGTTGGGTCATGAAACATCTACAAGAAAATCACCAAGCTCAGAAAGCACCAAGCATTTTAGCTTCCCTTGTGTGAATTTGTGGGGTTGCCATTTCTGCACCTTCTCCCTGTCGCCCAATTGTGGCTGCTTCCTTTGAGGGAGACTCTGCCTCTGGCTGGCGGCTTTCCCCGATGCCCTAGGCAGCCTTGTGGGGGAAAAGAGGACACCAGGACAGACATCCCAGGGTCTCATCCTGCATCCTATAACCACCTGGCCCTCAATTTTGCAGGGGCCAAAGCAAAAACACTGCACATGCTCAGAAGTACTTTAGGAGGTGACAATAATTTCATAGAAATAAGCTTGGGAATAAAAGGAAAGCCATTTCTGGAGACGGGTGTCCTTCTCAGGGTCGAACTAACTCCATGGACAGAGTTGCTCCAGCCCCAATGTTGCTTTTCAGGCAGGAGACTCGAACCCGCTTCCCAATCTGGCGCCTTCCTGCTTTCGCTCCAAAGCAGGGGTGTCCAAACCTGGCCCCTTGAAGACTGTGGTGGACTTCAATTCCCAGAATTCCCCAGCCAGCATGCGCTATAAATATGAGCAAATTGCTGGCTGGGGAATTCTGGGAGCTGAAGTCCACCACAGTCTTCAACTGGCTAAGTTTGGACACCCCTGTTCTAAAACCTATTCAACTTCCGCGTCACTGCACATGCGCGTCACGGCCTTCTGGGAGTTGAAGTCCTAACACAGCGGCAATCGGCCATCACCATTGGACAGCTCTCCTTTCCCGCTGCCCAATCAGACGGAAGGAACCGAAGCACAGCGGGCGGGGCGTCATCTCATCCCTTCTCTGGTCCGTGCCGCCTGTTCTTCCCCGCCGGCTTGTGGCCACGCCCCTTCCCCTCGCTCCGCTCTAGCCTCCCATCTCGATGCTTCTTCCTTGCTCCGCAGCCGCGCTGAGGGTTCCGGCGGGCGCGGTTTCCGCCCGGAGTGCTTTTCCCGCTGCTCCCGCCGGTGAGGGGCTCTGAGGTAAGCGCCGCGCCCGGTGGTTTTGGGGGTCTGGGGTCTCCGTCGAGCCCGGGCTGACAGAACTCCCTCTATTCGGTCACATTTCCCCCCTCGGAGGCGTCTTTCTCCGGGACTTGGTGCTTGGGGGCAAGAAAAGGCACTCTGTACATGCTCTGAGGCGCCCTCGCGGGGGTTCTGCAAAGAAGGTTCCTGAAGGAACCCAGCCAGCTTCTTGGGTTCATTAATCCATTGATGAATCCGGGTTTAAATACCCGCGATTAGCACGTGTGAAGGCCAAATGTGGCTCTTTTTAGGCTGGGGGCAGGCAAACCGAGGCAGAATAGAAATAGAAATAAATAAAATAGAGCTGGGAAGGGACCTTGGAGGTCTTCTAGTCCAACCCCCTGCTCAAGCAGGAGATAAGGATCGTTTTATTACAATTTATCAGAATATTCAGGCGAAAGGGATGTTCAGACATTCAAAGATCCTTCGCTTACCTGTCCTTTTAATAGTTAACTTCACAAAAAAAAAATAAGTTGGTTGGACTATAGATAAAAGTTAACCCCTCCTTTTATTTTTTATTTTATTTTATTTTTATTTCAATATCTAGTTAATTATCCAGGGATCTGGTTCTTGCAAAGCCAAATTAATAATAATAATAATAATAATAATAATAATAATAATAATAATAATAATAATAATAAATTATTATTATTATTATTATTATTATTATTATTATTATTATTATTATTATTATTTACTGGTTCACTGAAAATTGTGCCAGAAGTTTGGATTTGAGTACAGCAAAAACCACTGGGAACATCAGGTTGAGAAAGTTTTAGAGAATGAGAAACTCAAGATCTTGTGGGACTTCAGGATTCAGACTGACAGGCACTTGGTCCACAACACACCTGACATAACAATAGTTGAAAAGAAAAAAGTGTGGTTCATTGACATTGCAATACCTGGTGATGCACGAATTGAAGATAAGCAGCAAGGAAAAAATCACAAAATACCGGGACTTGCAAATTGAAGTTGAGCGACTGTGGAAAAAGAAATCGTGTGTTGTCCCGATTGTAATTGGAGCCCTTGGAGCAATACCCCAAGGGTTACCCCGCTATTTAGAAATTCTAAATTTGCCGGACTTGAACATTTTGACTCTACAAAAAAACCACCTTACTCGGAACAGCTTACATCCTCCGACAATACCTTAACAGTTCCTAGGTCCTTGGTTAGGACTCGAGCTGCTGAGCTATTAACCAGCCTCAAAGGCTGTGAATCTCACTAAACATTAAATAATAATAATAATTTGCCTAAAGACCTAGGCAAACACTTAAAAACAATTGGCACTGACAAGATCACCATTGGTCAGCTGCAGAAGGCAACTTTACTGGGATCTGCTTGCATAATCCGCCGATACATCACAGAGTCCTAAACGCTTGGGAAGTGTTCGACTAGTGATTGGGATAGGAAATCCAGCATAGTCAACTTGTTTGCTGTGTATACTGTCATTTTTGTGTATATAATAATAATAACTTTATTGTTATTGTACATGTATACACAGTATACCCATACAACGAAATTCACTTAACACCCAAAGACCAGGTCCAACACACATAACAATCCCCAAACACACTCCCACCCACCACAATTCCCCACCCCTAAACCACCCAAACATCCACACAGCAGACCAAGTAATGCTGTCCAACAGCTTCCTGATGGTGGCCCTTTAGTTCACGGTTGAGTGCAATTATAGCTCTGGGATAAAAAACTATTCAGAAAACGTGTGGTCTGAGTTTTATTTTATTTTTTTTTATTTTTTTTAAATTTGATTTATATGCCGCCCTTCTCTGGAGACTCAGGGCGGCTTACAGTGTGTTAAGCAATAGCCTTCATACTTTTGTATATTTATACAAAGTCAGCTTATTGCCCCCACAAACTGGGTCCTCATTTAACCTACCTTAGAAAGGATGGAAGGCTGAGTCAACCTTGAGCCTTGGAGAGATTCGAACCAGCAGTAAATTGCAGGCAGCTGTGTTAATAACAGGGTGCTTTAAACCACTGTATCTTTGCTCTGTATCTTCTGCCAGAAGGCAATAGTCCAAAAAGATTGTAAGCAGGATGGGAAGAGTCTCTGAGAATGTTATGTAACTTTCTCAAACAGCGAGATTCGAAGATGTCGTCCAGGGCTGGTAGATGGAGTCCGATGATATTCTGGGCAGTTTTAATGATTCTCTGTAGAGCTTTTTTGTCCGCTGCAGAGCTGCTCCCATACCATGCAAGAATGCCGTATGTCAGGACACTCTCAATGGTGCTGCGATAGTAGGACGGAAGTAGATGCTGAGATAGATTTATCTTCCTGAGCATTCTCAGGAAGTACAGCCTCTTCTGTGCCTTCTTCACAAGCATGTTAGAATTCATAGTCCATGAGAGGTCCTTCGAGATATAAATTTTCACAGTCAGTCAACCACAAAGGTGGTTTCAAGTTAGATAACCAAATGCCAGTTGACTGATTGGGAGATAGGATCCTGCCATCCTTCTGTAACTTTTCTCTTTTCAGTTTAGGGATGTTAGAAGCTATCCTATCAATCCGTATGTCCACAAGGTTAAAACATTTTTCTACAATCCAGTCTTATGTCCCAAAAGTGGTTTTTCAAGAGGCAACTGAACTTTCTGGTTTTTTGTTGAAGACGTTTTGCTTCTCATCTCTGATGAAACAGACAAACCTCCAAGTGACCTCAAGGACCCTCTTAAAAGAATGCAAATGACCAGCTACCTGCAAGGAATATAAATCCTTCCATTCCCCACCATCCAGCCAGAGCTGAAGAAGCTTCTTGGAGGAGAAGCAAAACATTTTCAAAAGAAAAAACAAAAACGTTCAGATGCCTCTTGAAAAAAAGCCCCTTTGGGACAACCATTATCCAGAGGACCGAGAATCTTCATAGACATTTAACTATACAATTTGGGATGAACACCCTTCAAATGGTGTGGGAGTAGAAATGGGTTTCCAGAGAAAAAATTGCAGACTACAGGATCCATTTGCACCACTCAGGTGACCTTGAGGACACAGATAAACCTCCAAGTGGCCTCAAGGACCCTCTAAAAGGATGCAAATGACCAACTGTCTGCAAGGAGTATCAATCCTTCCATTCCCCACCCTCCAGTCAGAGCTGAAGAAGCTTCTTGGAGGAGAAGTGAAACATCTTCAAAGAAAAACCTGAAAGTCCAGTTGCCTCTTGAAAAAAAGTACCTTTGGGACAACCAGGACTTGGATGATTGAGAATGTCTGTAGACATTTTGCACTGAGTTCAGTATCCAAGTGGCCTTAAAGGCAGCCCCATGAAGAGGAAATTGCAGTAGTCCAGCTGGGTAGTGATCAGAACAAGCATCACTGTCGCCAAGATTCCCCCAACTGAGACCTTCCAGATGCATGGAGACGCCGTTCCTCTGTAGCTTCCTCTCCCTGAGTTGTATTTTTTTTTTCTTTAGGGAGGGGGCCAAGATGTACGCCGTCTACAAGCAAGCCCACCCCCCCACCGGGCTGGAATTC